GCTTTGGGCGACGTGGGAGCGGCAGGTTATAAGGCGTCGATGAGCCCGGTGGCGACGGAAGGGCCTCATTACTCTGCGTCGGCGCTGAGGTTGGGTTCGCTTCCGGGGCGCTAGATGCCGACATGAAGGGCGGATCCCCGAACAAGGAGACGATTGTTGCCTCGTCGCAGAGCCTTCATCTTGTCGCCTTCGATTGCTGCCCGTCCAGGACAACGACGAACGTGCAGAAGGGCGATCTGTAACGGGCAATGCGTGGAGGGCCGACGCGCCACCCCAGCCGAGCACGTCGACCCCGATGGCAACAGTTGGAAGGGCATGGCTGCCCCCCCTGGTGGATACCGGCCACTCGTCTCTCTTTCTGACTTTGACCCTCGAGCAGGCACGACGCCCTGCGCAGTGCCCGTCAAGCATCTGGGACGGTACTCTCCATCCCCCCGTCGCACCCGTTTTGCTCGCTGTTCCTAGACGTTGGGCGTCGACAATGCCGAGGTAGGGCGGATGCCGCGTGGGACGATGCCCGCGCTCCGGTCGCAGCGTTGAAATGCCACGGCAGTTGAGGCCCCCCATCGTCGGGGCGCAATCGTTGCTGACTTGCAACAGGCCGAGGTGGGGGTCGCCGACGACACCCCAATTTGCTGAAGGCCGTGCAAAGGGCCGACGTACGCTGGACGCTAGAGGCGTGCGTGTCGATGTAGATTGCTGCGGTCGATTCCCTCACAACGCTCGACGCTTCATCGCGCCCTCGGAGGCCGCAAAAAGACCGGGGCGATGCAAGAGAGACAGCGACCTCAGCTCGCCGTGTCGGCGACGATGACGACGATCTCATCGCCGCTTCCGATGCCGTACCACAGCAGGTCCTTGGAGAGGTCATCGAGTTCGACGACCAGCCTGCCGCTGCCCGGTGTGGAAGCATGGTGCGAGTCGTCGGCACCGCTTAGGACGGCCCAGAGGGACTGGACCTGGGTGGGACGCGCCGAGACGGCCTTAGCCAGCTTGATCTTGGCCAGCCGCAGCGGCGTCGACGAGATGAGCTTGACGGGTCGGGCGGCACCGTCCCCGCCGTCACCGGCGACGGGCGTTGCTTCTTGGCCTCCATTCTGGCGGGGCTCTTCGGCGCTCCGCGTGACCCGCACCTCGACCAGCTTCGCCTTGAGCGTTCCTTTTGCCGCGCCGGAGTCGGACGCTGTCCTCGTTGCCGTGGTCGCAGTCGGCTCGGCGACTCCGCTTTGCCCGACTTCGATTGACTGGCGCTCGACGGATCGGCTTGCGACTTGTTCCGCATCGGGGCTGAATCTGCGCTTGAGCTCGTCGTACCGCGGGAACACAAGCCGCTTCTGATCCATGGTCAAAGCGACGGCCTCCTCGTCTACTGCCACTCCGCCATTGGGCTCTTGACTGTTGCCTAGAGGGCCCTGCGCTTTTAAGCCTAAGCTGGAAGCAGCCGCGACGCCCCGCGTCGTCAGGCGGCTCCCGTCGTCGACTTTGCCAAAGACGTAGAGCTCTGCATCCCGCCGCTCCCTGGCCGTCACGGGTGTGCGGTCGAGAGTCTCTAGGCCGGCCAGGCGTGCAACGGCAATGGCGCGGAAGTCGTGCGCAGCAAACGAGCTGACCAGCGGCGAAACATGGCGGTCAGGCTGAGCCGGATCGGCCCCATCTCCTGCCTCGTTCAGAGGGATGAGGTTGAGGCTGAAGCCGCTGCCCTGGTGTCGATCCCCAGCAGCGTCGCTAGCTGGACCCTTGGCGCGGGTGCAGTCGGAAGGGAACCAGCTCTCGAGGTTGTCGAGGTCCTCCCAGGTCGCGATCGGATTCCTGCAAAGGCCAACGTGCTTGAGCCTGCGGAGCACGGGGCCGGCCTTGTAGCGCGGGATGGCAGCGATGAGATTGCGGGTGAGGTAGAGATTCTCAAGGGCTGGAAGGGGGGCGAGCGCGGCGACGACGTCGTCCCAGGAGCAGAGCAGATTGTCCTCGAGGATGAGGGTGTGAAGGTTGGGAAGGCGCCCTGCCCCATCGGTCGGCGTTGCGGAGTCGCCGCGGGAGGCGGCCAGAGAGGTGAGCCGATTCTGGCCGAGCTGCAGCAGCTCGAGGGAGGGCAGGGCAGGCGCGAGGGCGAGCATCTCGTCCCAGGCGATCATGGTGCCGTCGAGCCGGAGGTCCTTGATGCTCGCAAAGGCGGCGGCCCAGCGCGTTGGCGGCGAAGGTCGGGGCACGGGAGCGAGGCGGACAAAGTTGAGGATGAGGCAATCTAGCCGGTCGAGTTCGGCTGCGATGGTGGCTACCTGGTCCCAGTCTGGCAGAAGCGACATTGACAGATCGAGCCATTGGATATCTGGAGTGATGAAGGGGGTTTCGGCCAAGGCGACGGCAAGTTGTCGGTGAGTGAGCGCATGTTGCCGGGCTTGCCCGCCTGGCGTCCGACTACTCACTGGGACAGGTGCTGCGTATGGAGCCCGGCAGCTCGCCGAGCCGGGGATCGATTGCGAGCGCGACGGCTTGGACTTCTTCGTTTGCTGCCGAGCCGCGCAGCGCCTTCCAGCCTCCGAGGCCGACCTGGCGGAGGCGGTCGAGGCGTGCGGTCCGCTGTATGACGCCGTGCATGTTGGGAGCCTCTATTTCGATTTCGGCCAGGTTCCTGCGCGAGTAGTGGTGCTGCTGCTTGGACGGCGCGCTGCCGTCGCCGGTCGAGGGCGAGGAGAGGTACTTTGCCCGGAGCGCCTGGAGGAACGAGGAGCCGTAGGATAGCTTGGACGCGGTCGGGCGGAGGAAGGAGCCGCTGCCTGGCACTCTGAGGAGCGACGAGGGCCCAACGGCGGCGACACAGGCCGTCAGCGAGCGGCGGAGGATCAGTGGGCGAAGCGGAAGGGGGGGATTTCGCGGTCAGGGTGGCGGGCGCTGCTCACCTGACGTTGAAGTAGCTGGTTCCGTCGCTGGCTACGCCGTCGTGCTTGCCCCTGGTCGGGTCGTCCCATTCGATGCCTAGCCAGATGCCGTCGGTGGGCGGGACGCTTCCGACATATCGGATGGTGCCGCGGTGGGCGCCCACCGATACCCGGCGCCCGACGACGGCATCGCCGGTGGTGGAAGCGTCAGCTTGGCGCTTCATTGAATCAAAGAGTCGGTCCGATGCCGACAAGAGGGCGCCGTGGTAGATTCAGTCAGAGCGCGCAAGATGGGCGAGTGACGAAGAGAAAGGCAGAGAGGCAGAGAGGCAGAAGGGGGGGCCATAAGGGTTCAGCTAGGAAGAAGCAATGGCCCGCCTCCGGCAGTCGGAAGTCGACGTGGGCGGCGGTCTGTGCAGGGGCTGGCGGCAGTGGCTGGGCTGGGATTTGTGTGGAGACAGGAGCCTGCAGCCAGCCCGCGGCCCGCTTGCTTGCTGACTTGGCCGCGGGCAGCAGGCGCAGCAGCCTAAGAGGTAGGCTTGGCTGCCCTCCGCCACCTCTTCCCGCCAGCCCGTCCGCCTGTGTCCACTTCCTCTCCCTCCCCCCCTCCTCTCTCTCCACAGCGCCGACCCATGGCGTCCCACTCCATCATTGACACCGCCAGTCCGCCACTCAGGACGACAGCACCACCCGCACTCGCGCAACCAACAGCGCCGCGACCCCAACCAGCCTAGACGGCCGTGGTCAACGCCCACCATGTCCTACCCGCCGCCCCTGATCGCCTCGACCCTGCTAGCCACACCCTCACCCTCGGCCTTTGCCTCGGCCTCGGCGACGCCTTCTCCGCCCTATCCCAACCTCCCCGTCCCCGTCCCAGATGTCGACTCCAACTCGTGCCGCCTCCTCGGGCCGTTTGCCCTGTTCGTGCAGCTGGCCATGGGCCTCCTCGTCCTCGCCTCGCTCGTCTACAAGCGACACAAGGAACGCCCCAAGCGGAAATGGAAGATCTGGCTCCTCGACATCACAAAGCAAATGCTCGGACAGATGTTTGTCCACGTCCTCAACGTCGCATTCAGCGAGGGCGGAAGCGGAGGCGGAGGCGGCGGCGGCACAGAGACCCACGCCGGCAGCCTCGGCGGCGTGGCAGGTGCCGCCGCCCTCGACGCACCGCCAAGAAAGGCCGAGGGGAGGAACCCATGCAGCCTCTACTTTCTAAACGTCCTCATCGACACCACTCTCGGTGAGTGACGGCCCAGGCTGCGCAGACCAAACCTGCAGCGTGCTCCAGCTGACCCGCTGCCACCGTCCTTCTGCCGCCTCGGTCCTCTCCGCCCCGCCCCGCCCACCGCCAGGTGTCTTTATCATCTATACGCTCCTCTCCCTCCTCACCCACATCCTCACCGATGTCCTGCGGCTACGCGGCTTCGTCTCGGGCCAGTACAGCGACCGCCCCATCGCTCCCGCGTCGGCGTCTGGCTCCCAGCAGCAGCACCAGCAGCAGCAGATACCCACCACGAGGCGCGGGCGCACCGCGCGGCCGCGGCTGTCGTACTGGGCAAAGCAGCTGGCCGTCTACCTCTTCGTCCTGCTCCTCATGAAGCTCTCGGTGCTCGTCATCCTCGCCGTGTTCCCCTTTCTCATCGACATGGGCAGCTGGCTCCTCAAGCTCTTTGGCAGCCACAAGGACGCCCAGGTCCTCTTTAGCATGGCCCTCTTCCCGCTCGCCATGAATGTGCTGCAGGTGAGTCTCCCGTCGCCCCTCGCCCGTCGCCCGCCGCCCGCCGCTCTGTGCTGCAGCGCCTTTGTTCGACGGAGTGGCCACACATGCAGCGGCGCAATCCGACAACGTCCGCTGACCTCGAGATGCACCACTCCCGCACTCCCGTCCCCGCCTACCCGCCGCGCCCAGTTCTGGCTGATCGACTCGCTGCTGCGGCACAACCCGACGACATCAAAGTACGCCCAGGTGCCGTCGGAACCAACATCGATGCACGAACCACACGGTCCATCATCCTCGTCGCCGCCGCCGCCATCGCAGGCTGGGGCGAGGCAGCGGCACCTTCGGCGAGGCGGCGGCCGCGGCGGCGTCGACGACGATCCGGAGCGGCAGGATACGGGGCCGATCCACCTGATTGGCGACGACGACGAGAGCGACGAGAGCGATGGCGAGGACGGCGACAGTCGGGATGCGGCGTCGTCGTTCGACTACCGCGGCCACGACGCGGGGAAACCGTCGGCGTCGGCGTCAGCGTCGGCATCGATGTCGGCAAGCCGCGACGGGCGTCAACCGTCTTCTCACGACGTGGACGCGGACGAGGACGAGGCCGAGGATGGGTATGCCTACCCGCCCGCCGAGATGCGCCCTTCGGCATCTCGGTCGCGCTCCGTCTCGCCCCGCCTGGTCGATGTCCACCAGCCCGCGCAACGGGGTCCCGCCTAGCCCAGCCCAGCCTAGCCTAGCCTCGCAGCGCACCACAGCGCTCGACCGGGCCGTCTCGCTGCCTTCACATCACAGCCCATCTCCACCCATCACGGCATCACCTTCTCGCGGCGCACCAGGCAGCCGCAGGGTCCAAGTACGCCGCCTGCGCAGGCCGACTCGCGCGTCCTCTGCACCATCATCGGCCGGTTGGCATGATACAACTCGAGCTGGCATTTTTTCGAGGAGGAGGGGCCATGACCACGGCCACCCCCCTTTCAGTGCGAGCGCAGCACTGGCACATGGACAAGGGCTTGCTCGGCATCCCGCTGCGTACGTCGGGCCTCGTGGATTGGATGAGATGCCACGAGCATCCCGGCAGCCAAAGCAGCACCACTCTAGATGGGCACAGCGGTCGGCGCACGGGCGGACGGATGGTTCGTCGGCCAGCCCCAGCCCACCGCTCCACGAGGCCTACTCGGCTCGCCTCGACTCGACATGGTTCGCCCCACGCGTCGCCCTTTAGGCGGTGATGGGGGCGCCGGCGGTGGGAGGCGCAGCGGCGACCGTCTGGGCCTCGGGGCAGTCGCGGGCGATCTGTGCGGCGGCGACGTACCGAAGTTTTCGTTTGTAATCAAATAGAGAAAAGAGAGTAGTTCAAGGGTCAGGGATTGTCTGCTCGAGGTCCGTCTGACGAGCGTCGTCGCGGGACGGATTGAATGGGGAACTCACGTGTCCGACCTTGCTGCAGTTGTAGCAAGTCTTTGGCTTCCTGGCGACGACGGCGGGGGCGATGACGTGGCCGCCGATGGCAGCGCCGAGGGGAGCCTTGCAGTCGCGCGCAAAGTGGTTGAGGCCGTTGCAGCGGTGGCACCTGACGGGCGGGCGGCCACCGACGGCGGCGAGGGCGGCGGGCGCAACGATCCCACCAGCGGCGGCGGCCGTGGGGCAGTTGCGGGAAATGTGGCCGACGCCGCCGCAGGTGTAGCAGGCGTTGGAGCGGGAGCGGGCGGCCTGAGCGGCCAGCGTGGGGCAGTCGGCCTTGATGTGGCCCTTGCCCTGCAGAGCCGAGCGGCGACGGGGAGCAGCAGAAGGGAAGGCAGTTGTGACGAGGTGCAGGAACGGAGCGAAGGGGAGAGGGCGAAGACAAGGGCAACGGTCTGTCAGCGACCACCGAATGGAGCTCGAGCAGGGAAGGCAGGGAGCTTCAAGAATGCGGTGCCCGTCACTCACGCCGCAGCCGTAGCACTGCTTGCTGTCGGCAGTCCTGGGAGCCTCGCAGGCGGAGCTCTCGTGGCCAGCCTCGAGGCAGTTGAAGCACCTGCGCTCGCTAAACGAGCAGTTCTCCGCTAGGTGTCCCACTGGCGATTGCGAGCAAGGAGGGGTCAAGGAGGGGGGGACCAGAGCGGCGAGCGTCAGTTGCGATGGTGTTCAAGACGGGGTCCGGCTCGAGGTGCAGCTCGAAAGTCCGTGTGGCCTCGGGCGGTCGAGTGCACTCACGCTGTCCGCAGCTACGGGGCGGGCGGTGAGTCGAGACAAGGGAGGAGCAGAGCAGGGCAGGGCAGGGCAGTCAGGACATCAGTGTCGGCCAGATGAGACCAAGGCAGCGACGTCGAGCAAGAAAGTACAGCCGCAGCCTCGTACGGCGGCGAACACGACAGGCAAGACTCACACGTAGCAGCCGCGTCGACGAAAAGCCATTTTGTGAGGGTTTTTCCTGGTTTCCGTTGCTTGCGTTGCCTGTACGCTTGCCTGGGTCGATGTTCGGCAGCGGTGGCAATGGCGAAGGGAGCGATGGGCACTCAGAGTGATCAGCAGGGGAGGCAGAGGATCGGTGGAATGGGATGCGAGCCCGACGGGCGACAACTCACCAGTTCGACGCTGCTGCTGCTGCTGCTGCTGCTTCTTCGACGTCGTTCTGCTGCTTCTTCAACGACCTTCTTATCAGACTCTCCAACCGCGTGAGATGGGTCCAGGAGAGAAGAATACAGAGGATCAGATGCGTTGAGAGGTTGGTGGTGGTGGTGGTGGTGGACGAAGACGAGCAGCAGGAGGGTTAGCCGGGGTTGGGCCGCGGACTGGCCGGCCACGCCCAGCTTGCTCGCTCGCCTGCCCTGGCCAGCTCAATCAAGCCGGGCAAAGCCAAGCCAAGCCCGAGGGCCCGCCTCCCTCCCTCTCCCCCAACTTGGCGCCGGCGGCGGCGGCGGGGGCGGAGGCGGCGCGCGGAAGTCGAAATTTGGGCTCGTCGGCCCTGGACCGAGGCAGAGGCCCGTCCGTCCGTCTGTCCGCCGTCGACCTCTCTGGGCCGTCCGCCACACACGACACCCTGCACGCCACCCGCCACCTCAAACGCCCGATCGGGCCGCGTATCTCAAAATCGGGTCAAGCAAGGCACACTTCTCTTGCCCTCTCGCTCTCGCTCTCGCGATCTCGCTCTCGCTCACTCGGTCTTTCTGCCTCTCTCGGTGCGGTGACCCGCCCCGCCAACCTCGGTCTCTATCGTGGTCTGGCGGGCGGCGCTGGATCCGCATTCCGCCCTCGACATTCGGCCCCCCAAAGCGCCGTCAGGCCGCGCTACAGCTTCTCCTGGTCCACGCCGAGCGCCGACACGAGGATGCGCAGCAGCTCGGCCGACACGAGGTCGTTTGTGGTGCGCACCGTCAGCCGGGCCAGCTTGGCCTCGCGGTTGGGCTCGAGGCGCAGCAGGCAGCCCACCTTGCCCGCCTCGGACATGTGCAGCACGCCCGCCGCCACCACATTGACCGGGTTGCCGTCGATGCCCTCGAGCACCTCGAGCCGCGCCGACGCAATCACCTTGCGGTGCCGCTGCACGTCGACGTCGCCGCTCGCCCCGAGCCGGAAGCTGAAGATCTTCTGCGCCTCGCGCGGCGCGCCACCGATCTGCTTCCACCGCTCGAAAAAGTCGGCCGACGACAGCCGCACCGGCTCGATAAACTTGGTCGTCAGCACGGGCAGCCGCAGGTGCAGCTCCTGCAGCGACCCCGCCAGGTACGAGACGTGCAGCAGCGGCGCGAGCGTGAAGTGGTCCTTGCACTGCACGTGCACCACCTGCTGCACCTGCGTCATGGCCTCGAGCACGTTGGTCGGGATCTTTGGCAGCGTCACGGCCAGCGCCTCGGGCTCCTGCGACCGTATCGAGATGGTAAACGACTTGAAGTTGGCCGAGATCTTGTTGCCAAAGAAGAGCGCCAGCCGCCCCTGGTGGCCGCGCCACTCGCTCTTGAGCCCAATCTGCAGCTGCGCGTCCTCGTACAGCACCCCTTCGCCCGTAAAGCACAGCCGCTGGAAGTTCTTGTCGGCGCCCGGGCTCAGCGTCGGTGTCGCGGGCGCTGGCGCTGGCGACGGTGATGGAGACGGCGACGGCGAGGGCGACGGTCTCCCCAGCAGCGAGGTTGACGCCGACGCCTCGTCTCCGATGAGCGGCTGGCCGGGCGAGATGCCGTCATCTGCCGCGATCGCCGCGAGGCCGGCGCCGGTGCCGGCGAGACCCGACGTGGCTCCGCTGCTGAGGTCCAGCCCCTCGAGGTCGCCGATCAGGTCGCCCTGGGACTCGGAGCCTGCCCCTGCTCCTGCTCCCGCGCCCGCTCCGGCCATCAGGTCCGGCCTCGACGCGGAGCGGATCACGGTCGCCGCCGGCCCGCCCGTCGGCATGGCGCCGCCGTTGGCCTTGCCCTTCTTGAGGCTCTCCTGCCGCGCCTGGTCGCGGTCGCGGTTGGCCTCCTTGCCCCCGATGATCCAGGTCCGCTTGTCGCCCGTGTCGCTGTGCTTTTTCTGCAGACGGCTGAGTAGCAGCGACGACTTTTCCGCGAACGGCGGCATCTCGTCGCACACGGCCTGGAGCAGGTCGTCGGTCGGCAGCTCGGCCAGCGCCACGTACTCGCACGCCCGCTGCTGCAGCTCGGCGTCGAGCACGTGGCGGTAGCGGTTGAGCACGTAGAGGATCTGCTCGCGAATCTCGGGAAACAGGTTGAGCCACTTGATGTACGTCGACAGCAGCAGCGCCCGCGTCGGCTGCGAGCAGAGGTGCGAGCGCGAGTGGAGCGTGTGGAACTGCTCAATCGGGCTGGCGCCCGCCTCGTTGGCGATCAGGTGCCCAAACTCGCCCAGGATGTAGCCTGCGGGGGTGCGCGAAGGGAAGCCAGACAGCCACGTGGTCAGCATCACGTCGTCCTCTGTCGACGGCGGCAATGGCCGCGGCTGGCTGCCCTCTCGCTCGCTCCGTTGCGTTGCGCTGCGCTGCCCCGCCTACTCACCTCCGACCTTGATCATGTTTTCATGGCACGAGGGCGACTTGAGGTGCTCGAGGACGCGCCGCGCCGCATACTCCTGGACATCCTCGTTGTTGAGCACGATCTGGATGACTCGGTACCACACCTCGTCGCTGACGTGGTCGCCAGCGGAGCTGAGGAGCCGGAGGATGGTGTCGACGTACCAGTTGTACTCGGTGGCGAACTTTTCGGTGAGGATGGCAATCTTGAGCACCATTTCCTCGCGAAGCGCGTAGTCTGCGACCTGCATGTACTTGAGCAGCTCGGCGACGATGACTTTGGCGTTGGTGACGTCGCACATGCTGTACAGCAAATCGAGCCCGCGCCTGCGGACGCTGATGTCCTTGTCCTTGAGCGAGAGGATGATGGTGTTCTGGTGCATCTTGATGGGCTCGAGGCTGTCGGCGTAGGCGGCGAGGTGGGCCATGGTGTCGAGGCCGAGGTAGCGGACGTTTGTCTCGCGCGAGAGGATGAAGCGGCCCAGCAGCACCGACGCCTTGGCGACAATGGGCGACTCGGTGTCGAGCTGGATGGCCAGGTTGATGGCCTCGAAGAGCACCGCGTTCTGGGCGTTGTTGTGCTGCACGTTCTTGGGCGTGTCCTGCGACTTGTTGATGATGGTGTCGAGCACGCTCTGGATCGTCGACATGAGCGTCGGGTCGTCCGAGGGCGGGTAGTACTGGAGAAGCCGCAGCAGCTTGACCTGGAGCCAGGGGATGGGGATCTTGTAGTAGACGTACTCGCTGCTGTACTCGTCCTCGACGACAATCTTGTGCAGCCGGCTGACGGCGCGCTGGTACGACGCGTGGAACGCGTCCGGGTGGTCCTGGGCCATGGTCATGACCAGGCTGGTCACCGCCAGCGCAACTCCCTAGTGCCGGAACGAGGAGCGGTAGGCGCAGCAGGAAGAGCGGAAACACGGGCGGCAGGGGAGAGATGGGAGGGGGGCGATAGACGGCAGTCATCAGCTCGCGGTGCTCCACGGGCACGGGCAACAAGGGCGTTCCGTGCACCCACCAAGTTGTCGTCGTCCATGATGGCGATGATCCTCGACGCCCACTCCTCTGCGGGGATCACCTCGGGGTGCTTGCGGTAGAGGCGGAGGAGGGTGAGAGCGGCCTTTTTCTTGACAAAGCTCTTGGACGTGGGCGAGATGAGGAGGCGGTGGACGTCGTCGGCGAGGGCCTCGGCCATCTCCTGTCCGCCAATGTTGGCGATGGCGTGGAGCGCGAGGCAGTTGTTGACCTCGTTGATCTCGTCGAGGTCCTTGCGGATCGAGTTGACGACGAGGCGGACCAGGTCCGAGTTCTCGTCCATCAGGAGCGTGATGGCGAGGTAGCCGATCTGCTTTTCCGAGTACTTCGGGCTGGCGATGAGGTTGACGGCCTCCATGTGGCCGATGTCGACCTGGTAGCCCAGGATGTAGGTAAAGACAATCTTGGAGAGATACTTTTTCTTCTGGTAACCGTCGAGCGAGCCCTCCTTGAACTTTTGGCGGATGTGGGCCATTTCCTTGTTGATGCGCTTCTCCTCGAGCTCGCGGACGCGGCAGGCGCGCAGGTCGGCGATGTACTGCGTCAGGCCCTTCATCGAAGAGGTGCTGTTGGACGTCATGGTGGGCAGAGGGGGCCGTCGCCCGGCGTCGTGGCGCTAATGCAGGGCGGTTCGGATCGGATTGTGTCGATTTGAGGTGCGAAGGGGGGGCGAGTGCGAGTGCGAGTGCGAGTGCGAGTGCGAGCGCCAGTCAAGACGGAGGCTCGAGATGAGTTGAGAGGAGAGCTGGGCGCGACGACGGCGGGATCAGCTGGCGCAGAGCTTCAGGCCGGCCGGCTGACACGTCGATGGCGCTCAAGCGGGTTGGCGAACGAGCTGACGAGCTGACGAGCTGACGAGCTGACGAGCTGACGAGCTGACGAGCGGGCGAGCGGGCGAGCGAGCAGGGAGGAGAAGAAGCGTCCGTGGCCTGGCGAATGCGGCGAGCGATGGTAGACAAGAGGCCTGGTTTCGAGTGACGGCCAGCTGAGCACGAGATTGAGGATGCAGCGGGCGAGCGGGCGAGCGGGTATCTTTTGGGTACTGGTCAGACTGGCTGGCCTCGGCGCGAACAGGCAATTGGTGTAAGGTGTTGCAGGTCGAGCTGGCCTTGGGCGTGGTCGGCGATGTTACTGCGCAGCCTGGCCTGGATCGGCACGGATGAGAAGCACGGGGTCGTGGAATCAAGGCTTGCAAGGCTGCCGCTGCTGAGGATGAAGAGCGCAACGCAACACGACGGTGGTGGTGATGGTGGTGATGATGGTGGCGGTGATATTGAGCCAGGCGCGAGCGAGGGTCAAGGAAGGTCTAGGACGCGATGCGCCTCCGCTGCCAGGCCAGGCCGAGAAGGCGCACCTCGGCCGGCCCGGTAGGTCAGGCCTCTGGCCAGTCGGCAGGCCAGCCAAGTCAAGCCAACCAGGCAGCCCCCCTCTGCCGTTCTCTGCCTGGCCTCCATGCGTGGGTCCGTGCCACCGCCGCTGCCCCCTCTAATCGACCCCAGCCTGGGCTGAGGAGCCTGCCTGCCTGCCTCTCCGCGAGCGCGTCTGGCCCTCCTCGAACGGCTCGCCACCCGCAACGCTCATCTTCCACCATCCTCATCCATGCCCTCGACACACATGTCCGCGCCTCTGGCAGCCTTGGTCGCTCGCTGGCCTCGCTCGCTCAACTCGTGGGGCTGGAATCTACCGTGGCATTCGGCCTCATCGTCGCTCATCGTCGTCCTCCTCGCCGCTCCTCGTCGCTCCGCCTCGAGCTCGGACCCCATCCTCTCCCTCTCTCCTTGAGCTGCTTGCTACGCTACAACCTGTGCCCGCTCGCTCGTGGAGGCCTCCCGTCACGTCCCTCCGCCTCTCCAGTCGTGCAGAAACCCGGTGCGAATGTGCAGGTGAGAGCTAGGAAGACGGAAAGGACCAAGCAGGAGGGGGGGTGAAAACGAGACTGGGGGGGACAACAAGAGCCGAGGCAAGGCGACAAGAGATGGCGAAAAGAGGGGCGCAAATAGGAACGCCTCCCTGCGGAAAAGAGAGGGTGCGAAAGGGGACGCAAGGGAGGGAGCATAGCATGCCCGGCCGGACTGTATACCTTCGCACTTCGTCGGTCGTTGGGTTTTCGCTGCCGCCGCTGCTGCTTAGGCGGCCTCCTCGCCCTTGCTCTCGGCGGCGGGCGCGTCGGCCGGCGCGGCCTCGGCCGGCTTCTCCGAGTCCTGCATGTCCGAGGTCCAGAGGGTGAGGTTGTCGCGCAGCAGCTGCATGATGAGCGTCGAGTCCTTGTAGCTCTCCTCGGACAGCGTGTCGAGCTCGGCAATGGCGTCGTCGAACGCCTGCTTGGCCAGGTGGCACGCGCGGTCGGGGCTGTTGAGGATCTCGTAGTAGAAGACCGAAAAGTTGAGCGCGAGGCCGAGGCGGATCGGGTGCGTCGGGGGCAGCTCAGTGACGGCAACGTCCGAGGCGGCCTTGTAGGCCTCGAGCGACTTGTCGGCCGAGTCCTTGCGCTTGTCGCCAGTGGCAAACTCGGCGAGGTAACGGTGGTAGTCGCCCTTCCTGCAGAGGCAGACGCGCGCGGTCAAGTGGGGAGAGAAGCGAAGGGGGCGCAACGTCAGCGGCCGGCATCGATCAAGAGGAAGAGTGGCAAGGGCGAGGATGACGCACATCTTGTGGTAGAAGACCTTGCTCTCGCCCGAGGCGGCCGAGGGGATGAGGTGCTTGTCCAGGACGTCGAGAATGTCCTCGCAGATCTGGGCGAGCTCAGCCTCGATCTTCTCGCCTGTCGAGACGAAATCGGGGAAGGGGAGAGGAGGGGGAACATGGTAGATGCGGCGGGCACAGGTCAGCAACCGAGACATTTCTCGCCAAGACCGACGCCGAAACAGCCAGGGCCGTGCTCGGACTCACGGTAAGTCTTGATCATGGTGACCTGGGCCTCGTTGCCCTTGGACTCCTCCTTCTGCTCGATCGACGAGACGATGCGCCACGAGGCGCGGCGGGCGCCGATAACGTTCTTGTAAGCGACCGAGAGGAGGTTGCGCTCCTCGACGGTGAGCTCCTGGTCGGACGAAGCGACGCGCTTCATGTTCTCGACCATCTCTGCGGTGGGCACGCAGCATCGGCATGGAGGCAGGAGGGACAGGCTTGGAGCGTCAGCTGCTGAAAATGCATCGATCGGTTGTCGGCCCGCAAAATGTGAAGGGCGGCTCCATCACGGCTCGATAGATAGATCCTCTCGCCGTCATCCTCGCACGGCATCCACCGTGACCAGCGCTTCCATCCGCCTTATCGCCGTGCCCCTCGACGGCGAGCGCGACGGGAGCGCGTCTTCTCGGCCCAGCCTTGGTCCCCGGCCCTGTTCGAGTCCGCCCAATATGCGTGCCTCTCCTTGAGCAGCTCCTGCTTCTGCGAGGCGCGCCGTCTCGATGACTCACCCTCGTAGCGCTCAGCCTGCTCGGCGAGCTTGGCAAGGTAGACGGAGTCCTCGCGCGATTCGGGCATTGTGAAGTAGGGTCGGTGGGGTGGCTGGGTGTTTCTGAAAGAGGAAAAGGCTGTGGGAGAAGGGTCGGATGTCGGTGATCGGTCGGAGCGAGCGGATGGCGAGAGGCGATGGTCGAGCGCGGTTGAGGAAGCGAGGCGATCGTGCACGGAAGCAGAGCGGAAAGGGAAGCGAGCAGGTTCGGCGCGAGGTGTCGAAGGGGGAGAGGACAAGCAAGGAGGGCAGCAAGGACGAGGTCAGTGACAAGTCCCTATCGGAGAGGGGCGGCAAAAAGCAAAGACACGGCGCATTCAACGAAGCAACGGTACGCCAGGATCGCTGGCCCAGCAAAAGCAGCCGTGCGACAGGTTCGCCAGGAGCCGAGCTGGCCAGTGACTGCCTGCGGCCGACGGCAATGGCAAAGACGGCGGCGACGCGACGTCGCGGGCGCTTCCACCGCGAGGCGATGAAGCCGCGCTCTGATCTGGCGAGCAAATGACTACGTCGTGGGGTGACCTGCAAGTCGCTGGTGGTCTGGCGAGACAACGACGGCGATGGCGGCGAGGAATAAGACGCCGCCTGAGTGCCGCCGATCGTCCAACGCCCGTCCGGGTGGCGCCCAGATGCCGACAACGAAGCAATGCTGTCGATGGCCGGTGATGTCGGGGCGGTCCCCTCAAGAGCCGCGAAGGACGAGGCACGGGTGGATGCGAGGATGCAGCGACATGTCCCGGCCGAGGCAGGCAGGAGCGGCCGGCGGACGGGCGGGCAGGCGGGATGTCGGTCGACCTTTCAAACGCCTCTTTCCACCCGTCTGCCCACGCTCCTCGAAGGGGCGCGGCGGTGCGATGGAAGGGCAGTGTCGATCCGGACGCGGCGGCGGTGCCGGCGGCGAAACTCACCCGAAGCGGTAGGGATCGAAAGAAGGTGCAGAGGAGAGTGCTGGGTGGGTGGGTGGGTGGTGGTGGTGGTGCGAAGTGGTGATGGTGGTGAAAGAGGAGAGAGCGAGGCAGAGATATGGGGTCGGGCGAGAGGGCGACAGGGCGGACGGGCGGGCCTAGGCAGAGAGGGGAGAGGCGGACGGGCGGACGGACGGGCGGGCGGGCTGGCGGGCTGGCGGGCGACGACAAACACGCAAACGCACACACACACACACACGCAGCGCACGCACCGCCTCCTCCGCCCACCGACCGTCCGCCTGGCCGACCGCCTGCGAGCCTCGAAGCCAGAAGCACAGAGAAGGTCAAAGGGGCCGAGACCAGCCAGGCGAGGGCAGGCGCGGGCGCTGGGCTTGCGTCGGGCTAAGGGCCGGCAGTCAGTCTGGAGGGGCCAACGACGACGAGGTCCGGGCTAGGCGGCGTAGGACCCCTGCCGCGTCGCATTCCCGTCGACGTAAGCGCGCCACCCGCCCCTTTGGCCTGCTCGCTGGGGTGGTCTCGAGCCTCCTGGCACCGGGGCGGGCACGCGTCCCTCGACAGCCTCAGCTTGGGCGCGATCCCTCGCACCAGCCGCCTCTGAGCAGGTCAGCTCAGGCCCAGCCAACACCGGCCGTCTTCGCTGCTTCCCTCTCCTCTCCCCGAGCCGACGCAGAGGACAGCGGCGTCGGGGCAGCTCCTGCCTGCGGCGCTAGGCCGCCAGCCGGCCTGGCCCTGACTTTGGCCAGGCAAGGGGCGGCCAGGCCAAGTCCACGTCGAGGCGGGCGAGCGCGCGCGCTTCACGCAAGGCCAGGCCAGGCCAGGCCAGCCCGACAGGCCAGCAGGCGGCCCCTGCGTCGTCCGCTCGTCAGCAGCATCGAGAACTGAAGAGCCAGAGCCAGCGCGGCGGCGCCACTCTTTCCATCGATACGGTCGCTGACCGGCGGGGCTGGCTGGCAGGCTTGCACCGCCTGTCTGCGGCCCGCCACCTGGTGTCGGGAGCCAGAACGACGGACGGTCGGTCGACGGGCGGGCGGGGTCGGGCGACGACGTCTTCGGTGTCAGCCCAGCCCAGCCTGGGCCTGCAGCAGGCCGCCGCCCGCCACAGTCGCATCGCAGGCAGGCAGGCTCGGAAGAAGCAGGCAGGCGAGGCAGGGCAGGATGCGCTCTGCGATCGCGCACAGGGCAGGGCAGGGAGGGCGAGCAAGTAGGCAGGCAGGCAGGCAAGGTGGTCAGAGCGCAGCACTTCGCCTCGATACTGCGTCGGGCTAAGGTCGCGCAGCCGGTGGGTATCGCGCGGCAAACGCCATGTGGCAACAGCGACGGCGGGCCCTCGAACAAACCCTGGACCCACGTCTCGAAAAACGGAGGAGGTGGACAGAAACTCGTCGCACTTTTCGCCCCCGCTTCCTCGTCGCCCGGCCTGCTCTCGTCGCGGCAGCTCTCGTCGCGGCAGCCAGCGACCTCGATTCGTGCGGGAACCACGGAGCCCTCGCTCACAAGCTCGCCCGATTTCTCAGGCAGGCCTGGCCCGATACGGGCCTCGATTCACCCTCGAAACGAGGCGACGCCCGAGGCTGACCGGCCTGTCCAGCAACGCACGCACGCACGCACGCACGCCCCTCGGTCCAGCCAGGGCGCATTCAGGCTCGGCGCACCCCAGTCGTGTGAGAGCATCTCTGCGATCGATCTTCGGTAGAATCGCCCTGGTTTTGCATGCGGGGATCGCGGGCGTGTGGTGGGAAGGGTGCGGTTCGATCGTAGACGGGGGATCAGGCGGAAGTGGAGCGAGCGAGCGAGCGGCGATGCGGGCGGGGACAGGCGAGGCGAATGCGTTGGATGAGGTATTGAGAAGGGCCGGGCTAGGGCGCAGCGCCGTGTAGGACCAAACAAAAAAGGGGAGAGGTGGGACAAGGTATGGCTCTCAGGCGACGGATATCAAGTGAGAGGAGGGGGAGAGAAACAGGAACGGGACAAGGGCACAGAACAGCGGGTTCCGAGACGCTGGAGCGGGCCCGGAACCGGCTGGCGCGAGGGAGAGGATGTCCGCACGCGCCGCTCAGAGGTCACCGTCGTCCTCGTCGGGCAGGGGAGCGGCGGCAGCCTGCAGAGAGCAAGGCGAAGCAGAAAGAGGGGCGAGAGGACGAGGTCAGCACGGGCTGTGGGACGAAGAAGGGGGGAGCCGGAAGCTGTGCCGAAACGGTCGACGTCGCGACGATACTCACAGCCTGGAGCTCGGCGTTGTACTGGGCCATGAGCTGCTCGTCGACCTGGACCTCCGGCGGGGCGAGGGCGGGGGCGGCGGCGAACTCGAGCGTCGGGTTGCCGACGAGCTTGCGCGCCAGCCACAGGAAGGGCTTCTCGAAGTTGTAGTTGGACTTGGCCGAGATCTCAAAGTACTGGAGGTTCTTCTTGCGGTGGAAGGTGACTGCGCCGGTCTTGACCTTGCGCTCCTTGACGTCGACCTTGTTGCCGCAGAGGACGATGGGGATGTTCTCGCAGACGCGCTCGAGGTCGCGGTGCCAGTTGGGGACGTTCTTGTAGGTGATGCGCGAGGTGACGTCAAACATGATGATGCCGCACTGGCCCTGGATGTAGTAGCCGTCGCGCAGGCCACCAAACTTCTCCTGGCCGGCCGTGTCCCACACGTTGAAGCAGATGGTGCCAAAGTTGGTGTGGAACTGGAGCGGGTGGACCTCGACTCCGAGCGTGGCAATGTACTTCTTCTCAAACTCGCCCGTCAGGTGGCGCTGAGAGAGGGAGGGAAAGAGGGAGAGGCAGGGCGGGTGGGACTTGGGTCAGCATCGCTCCGGCCGGGGCCCAACGCCACCGCATGAGTCTGCATCGCCACTCACCTTGACGAAGGTCGTCTTGCCGGTACCACCATCGCCGACTGAGCGGGCGTGCATCGAGAGGAGGGCATCGCGAGGAAAAAGCCGATCAGCAAAACATGCCCGCGTGGTGATGGATGAATGCAGCCCGTTTGCGCCACCCGGCGGCCAGCCGGGCCAGGCACTCTGCAGCAACGGCCGAAGGAGAAGAAGACCAGGCGACGCTCACCGAGGACGAGCTTGAAGTTGGGGATGTTCTGGCCGGACTGCTCAGCGGACATTTTGAAGGATACGATGCGGTTGCGATCGAAAGGGGGATGTTGGTGTGGGTGTGGGTCGGTGGTGGTGGTGGAGACGAAAGGCGGTGCGGGAGGGGCGAGCCAGACCAAGGTGCAAAGTCGGGCGCGGGGCGGAGGGGAGAGCAACACACCAACCCCAAGCAGCCTGTGCGCCTCTCGGTCTGCTTTGGCTGGGCGGTCTGCCTGGAGGCAGGCGCCAGGCGGCGGGGCGAGGGCGAGGGCGAGCGAAAAAATTTGAGACGCACGTCAAATTCGATCGAAGCGATTCGCGGCGGCGTCGCCGATTGAAAGGCGCCCTGCTGGCAGCGCACCCCGCCGAGATCGAGTTGGAATCTTTTCGTCGCAGCCAGCACGATCGCCCCGTGCGAGCCCGCCAATTTGAATGAGATCCCAACTCCACCTCGCCTCTCTCTCCCTTTGCCGCCTGCGCGACGGAGGGGGGAACGATCACGCTCTCCCCTCGGTGGCTCAGTTGGCGGGATGCAGAGTAGCGAGCCTCGTCGTCAAGTGGCCGGCCAAGGTCGAGCTTCAGCACGGTCCATGCTCACCCCGCCGTGCCATGTCAGCGACGACGACCGTGACAGCGACCGCAGAGACGAGAGATGATGTCGATGACGAGGGGCTGGGCCGAGGGCGGTTCTGGCGTGCCCAGCGCGTGAGGCTCGGGCGAGGCAGGCACGCAGGCGGGCCAGGGTTTCTTCTCGGCTCGATCACAGCTGCATCCCGATCCGGGCTCCCCGACCTCGCTGCCCCGATGTGGAACGACGGGCGGGCGAGCGCGGGTCGACGACGTCGCGGCGCCTCGACCACGACGCCATCCGCTTGGCTTTGCGCCAGGCCACGCCAGGCCGCGCTTGCACACTGATCCCTGCCTGGTACGCTCGAGGGATCAGCTGGTCAGCCAGGCAAATGCGCGCGATCGTGAGTAGTATATTGCCATTACTGTCAAGTGTGCCGTCAAGGTGTCGGCACAAATCCGTAACATACGCGCGCCGTAGCGCCCTTCCCCTGCTCCTTTGGCCATCGATGGGCATCGACCCGCTGGTTTGTCGTCTGGATGCTGATGCGGCCCGCTGCCAGGCCGCCCCTCTGCTTGTCTCGATGCGGCTGCGGCCCTCTGTTGGCCCGCCACCCTGCTCGTCATGACACTCTGGCGCACAACGCCAGCTCGTGTGCCCTGCCCCCGCTGACGGTGTCGTTGCTAGCGCCCGCGCCGCAACACCTGCGCGCTCAGCCTCGAGGCACCTTCGACAAGCCCTCGTTGATCGTCCGAGCGACGAGGTTGTCGTCCTCCTCCTTCATCCTGCGGCTGGCGCTGTAGAGGCGCTCGACGAGCTCCTTGATGAGCGCGTCGGTCTGCTCGTCGGCAAGGCGTGCGCGCTCGGCGGCGGCCGCGGCGGCGGCAGCGGCTTCGGCCTCGGTCTCGGCGCCTGCTTCGCCCGCCTCAGTCTCGCCGTCTCCTTCGTCCGCCTCGGTCTCGGCCTCCTCGAGCTCGAACTCCACGTCGAGCTCTGCCGATCTCTGCTCTGCCACGGTGTGCCGCGAGATCTTGGAGGCCTCTTCTGGGAGCCGAGCGCAGTCCGACATCGTGCGGGCCAAGTAGCTCAGCAGCTTCCGGCACCTGTCCACCTCGCCGACGGCATGTTCGCCCGGATATTTGGGGTCCAGGCGCGGGTCGTCGAAGCGGCTCGTTAGGAACTGTGAGCCGAGTGCCGGGTCGAGTCGTCCGATCGTCCGCCGCAGCAATGCATCGCTGAGGTCAGTTCCACCCTCGAAACTTCGATCAGGATGTCGCCTGGTACTCACATCGGCAAAGGTGGCTGGGTCCTCTCCCATCTTGAAGCCGCGGGAGTCACGGCCCATTTGCCTCCAGCGCACGGAGCGCTTGATGCGCTTGAGTCCGTCGAAGCAAAGCTCGAGGTCACAGAGGTCCATCCTGTCGACGAGCTCGTATACAAGCACGAGGAGCGCGCTCTCGATGTCGTCGAACGAGTCCAAGCGCTTCAGAGAGGACAAGATGTGACGGTGGGCCGAGGCCAAAGCGGTAAAGCCCAGCGTGCGGCTGTTGCTATAGGCCTTTCTTGGCCAGAACTGGCGGGTGCCGCTGAAGAACAAACGACGGTCGCGCTCGCCGATCGGCATCGTGCGATCGCCTGTCCAGCTCTCGCCAAAGTCGATGAGCAGCACCAGCTGCGGGCGCAACTCGGCGGCCAGATTGGGGTCGAGCAGCTGCTCCTCGTATCCGTGGGGCAGAGCAGCCAACGCTCGGATGTTTCCGGGCGAGATGTCGGCGTGGATGATGTTGGCCGGGCGGCAGACAAAGTAGATGACCTCGATGACGTTGGCGATCAACGCCGGCAGCATCCACAAGGGCCGCTCTGCCAAGGCCGAGCTCGGCACGAACTTGGTCAGCGTCGCTGTAGGCTGGCGCCGCTGCGAGGTCGAAAAGGTGAAGAGGCCGTTGCTGAGGTCAACGACGAAAGGCACCACGTCCTCACCCAGCTCGTCGCTTGTTCCGCCTGGCCGCGGCGGCCCCGCGGTCTGAGGATACGCCAGCTTCAGCCGGCCGAGGTCCGCGTCCTGGGTCGACTGCCAAAGGATGCCGTGTGCGATGAGCATGGGGATCCCCCGGTAGCAACGCTCTCGCATCGTGCGGAGCGCGTCGGACGTCGAGAGCAGGTCGGCTCGGCGGTGCTCGTCGAGCAGACGAAGCGCATCGCCTTCGGCGGACCACTCGCACTCCTGCAGCTGCGAGATCTTGATGATCGCGGGGATGTGGAGGCCGGCGTTGGCGTCGTCGACGTCCTCGACCGCGGCGAAGACCCTGGCAACGCTCGTGATGCGGTGCGAGACCGAGTGCTTCTGCCAAAACTCGTACGGCCAACTGGTGACCTCGTCCGACCCGGTCGCGGGCCCCGGCGGGCACTGGAGCGTGATGGCGCGGTACTTTGGCTGAGCACCGGGTTCCTCGTCTTGGCCGTTGCGCAGAAAGATGCGGCCCAGCGCGCGGACGTCGATCTGGCGCTGGTAGCGTCGGAAGCCATTCCACTCATCGAGGCAGATCGAGTGGAACAGAAGGATCGTACGGTAGAGCTTCTGAGGTTCCTCGTCGATGTTGTATGAGGCGATCTTCGTGATGTGGTCGCCGTCGACCCGGAACACGTCGGCTTGGCTCCGCTGGAGCGTCATGGCGTAAATGGAGAGGAACCCCGGGGTGGCACCGATGACCGAGACGACGTACTTCATCAGCTGAGAGACGGTGTCGAGGTGCGTGTCCTGCTGCTCGTCCGACGCAGAGCTGCTGCGGGGCCTCTTGGGAGGGTTCGCCTTGAACTCGATGATGGCCCGTGCATGGCGCTTTGCATCGTCCTCGCCCTCGCGGACGACGACCAGGTCGGGGCGGATCTTGCCGTCCCATTGCTTCTTCTCGCCCTCCTTCTTGTCCTCGACGTGCGACAGTGCCTTGCCTTTGACGCGCGGCTGGGGTTTGTCCTTGTCCTGCTGGGTTTTGTCCTGGAGCGTGCGACCGTCAGGGGGGGAACACATCAAAGCAAGAGTGCGGTAGACGAGAGATGGCGTGAGCTTGTCAACAGCCAGGACGGATGTGCGCAGATCCGCATCACCTAGCAGATTCGAGGGCCCAGTCAGCGTGCCCGAAGACTCACCACGGTAGAATCGCTCGTGTTCCAGAACTTTGGGCGACCCTGGCAGCCACTGTGGTCGCCTTCTCCGTTTGCCGCGGCGGTTGCAGCTCGAGAGGCAATGTCCTCGTCGATAGGCAATGTCCTCGTCGATGACGGCGGCGAGGCCTTGAAAGGCCGCAACGAGGTTTGACTCTGAGCCTCCGACACAGTCATAGAGCGGATGGTTGTGCCAGTGGCCGTCGCTTCCGAAGACGGTCGGCGGCACCCGAGGCGTTTTGGGATGCTTGGGCCCTTTTTTCCTCGACGAAGGGGGCTCGCGCTTGCAGGATTCGGTGCCGTCGCAGCAGTGTATGCTCATCACCCACCACTTCTTGGCGGGCATCCTCGGGTCAGATCTTGTTACGTTGTGGAAAAAGCGAGCCTTGAAGTGCGTCTGTCGGCCACTGGGCGCGACGAGGTTGGCGTGTGAGCCGTGTTGGTAGATCGACTTGTACTTGATCTGCGGCGGCGAGGCGCCAGGATCAAAGGACTGGCCGGGCGCGATCTCAAAGAGGGCCGAGTAAGGGAGCAGTTGGGTGGCGAGATTGAACCGTGTCGTGGCCAAGGAGCGGATGGGCGCTAGCGAGACGAGGATGTCCTTCATGTTGAAGCTCGAATCGACGGACGAAGCGGGACTGCTGACCGAGATGACGCCGGAAGACATTTGGCTCCTGAAGGAGGTCTGGGCGACTTTGTAGGAGCGGCGATGGTCTTGGAGCTTGAGCTCGCGTGGGTCTCTGGCTGTGGGGGGCTGCAAGAAGTTGGCCATGAGCAACGACGCCGAGTCTGCGGCAGACGTTGGGAGCTCAAGTCGAGGGCTGCGGCATGTCGCCGAGGGGCTCGTGGCGGCTGTCGAGGCTGCGCAGGTGTCGCCGGGGCTGGGACTGAGCGAGGGCCGGTAGGAAAGGGGAGAAGGGGGCGAGAAGCCTTGATCGGGAGAGGATGGACTGACCATCTTGGCTGTGCGCCACCCAGCGAGGGATCTGCACAACCATTGGATCGTAGAGAGAAGCTACTGGGATGGGAGAGAGAGAGAGAAGCGTCTGCTGGTCGAGATGGAGCAACAGTCGAGTAGTCAACAGACAAAAGGGCGCACGCATGCCCCGCCTCCACGCGCTTGTCTTTGGCTCGCTGGGCCGGGACTGGCCAGGCCTGACCTGAGTCTTTAGATCGGGGTCATGGGGGGTGGGGATCGGGGGTGGTCCCTACAACTGCGAGTCCCGAAGACGAGCGAGGCCAGGCCGGGCGAGGCGAAAAATTTGGGAACGACGCTCCTTCCACATGCCGCCGTGCACCCGACCCGCCCCTCATCATTTCATCACAATCACAATCACGATCACGATCCCTCCGCTGCTGCTGCGACCGGCCCGCGAGCTCCCTCCGTCCGCTCCTCCGCTCCGCCTCCTCGTCCCTTGCAGAGCACCGTCATGGCCGTCGTCGCCGCCGCCGCCGCCGCCGCCGTCGCGGGTCCTTCGTCGTCGCAGGCCTCGACGCCGAGGTCCAAGGACAAGAAGCACAAGTCGAGCAAAAAGCACAAGAGCAGCAAGCGCAGCAGCAGCAGTGCCGGCGCCGCCGACGACGATGCGGCAGCACCACCGACCGACGTCGTGATGGACGACGCAGAGGCAGGCGTAGTCGACGGCGGCATCCTGGAGAGCGCCTTTGAGACCCTGTACCCCGTCCTCAACCTCGCCATCCCGCCCGTCTGGACGCCCAACCCGTACGCCGCCTTTTCCGACCTCATGGACACGCTCGTCATGCGCTACGTGCCCCAGCTCTCGGGCGTCCTCATCACCCACCGCCCGCTCCGCTTCCTCGCCGACTCGGCCAAGTTCTACGCCGACAACGCCTCCGCCTCGGCGCCCGTCCAGTTCGAGTGCGTCGTATGGCGGCCAAAGATCGGGCACCGCCTCGGTGAGTCGCGGTTTCTTCTGCCTGCCGTCGTCGGTCGATACTGATCCGGAGATCCTCGTCGCATCCCCTGCCTTGCCTCGATGCTTCCCCCCTTTACACATTCACGCAGAGGGCACGATCACGCTCTCGTCGCCCTCGCACGTCTCGCTGCTCCTCTACGGCACCTTCAACGCCTCGATCCCGGCCTCGCACCTGTCCAAGGACTCGTGGGAGTTTGTCATCGACGCCGAGGCCGACCTGCACGTCCACGGCATGGGCGCCGACCGCGGCCTGGGCCACTGGCGCTCCAAGGCCGACGGCTCGCGCCTCGGCGGCGACGACGGCAGGCTGAGCTTCACCGTCATCTCGATGACGGTGGCCAACCACATCCTCTCGCTCCACGGCTCGCTGCTCGACGACCCCTTTTCCGTCCCCGCGCCCACCCAGGACGCCTCGTACCTCGCAAAGTCGCTCTCGGACGCCAACGTCCTCGGCTTCGCTGCGGGCAAAAAGGGAGATCGCAACGCCAAGAAGGCGGCAGCGGCAGCAGCGGCGGGGGCAGCGGGAGGAGCGGCTGGATCGGCCGAGGCGTCGATGGACTCGCCCAAGCCGCAAAATAGGCGGGTGCGGTGGGAGGATGAGAGCGACGACGAGGCGCCCGCACTGGCGTCGCAGCAGCTGGACGGCGAAGACACCGACGGCGCGACAAGCGGTGCCAGCGACGACGACGACGACGAAGACCGGGCAGCCGCGGTATCGATCACGGCGCGGAGGCTCGACGACGACGACGACGACGACGACGACCGGAAGGGCAAGAAGGGGTCGAAGCGGAAATCGAGAAAGTCGCTCGACGGCGAAGACGAGGCGCCCGTCGACCAGGACGGCTCGGCAAAGTCGAGGGACAAGAAGAAGCGGAAGAGGGACAGAGAAGCAAAGGCGTGAGGGCGCTCGGGCCGACCAGCTTCTTTGCCTGGGCCCGGCCCATCCCTGCCACTCCGAGGTCCACCTACGATATCCCGTTGGTGTCCGGCGTCGTCCCGCGTCATTGAGAATGCATCCCGTCCGTGTACCACCATCTTTTCCCGTGTTCGACAGTCGTGCGAGCGGGTTCAGGCATCCCTATGTCCGTCTGTGGGTGCGTATGGGCCGCCCTCGATCTCCGACGCCTGACCAGTCGTTCTGCCTAGCGGGACGTTGTCGAGAGAGCGCAACACGCACCTGCCTCATCCAGTCTGCCGCTGCGCTAGGTCAGGTCTGGTTGCAGGGCACCGATGGACAAGGCGGCGCCCCGTGAACAGAACGGGACGACGGGTTCCTCTTTGTCTGCAGGCGACGCTGCAGGACCATCGAACACTAGGCGGTCGAGACCCCTAGACGGACGACGATGAGCGCGTCCAGCGATCTCGGGCGTGTCGAGCAACACGTCGTCGCACCCAGCGACGATCAGAGAGGGAGGGGACGGGATGAGATGCGACAATGATGATAATGACGAGGCCGATGAGCTGCAAGAGGAGCGAGGGTGTGTGAGTGGAGAGTAAGAGAGTGAGGGACGAGGAGGGCGGCGAGAGAGAGGCGACGCCACTGTGTCGGTGGGCGCGATACGAGACGAGATGCAAGCGGACTCGAGAGACAGAGGGAGAGAGAGGAGGGGGGGAGAGAGGGGGGAGATGCCAAGCCGATGGGCACGGAAGGACGGAGGGAAAGGAAGGAGAGTGGGGAGATAAGAAGACGGTCCGAGCACAAGGAGGCGAAGGAAGACAGGTCCGAAGAAGGCTGGTGCGTGTCGCGTCATGCTGGTCGGACAGGGCCGAGGGGATGGATGCAGGGATCGAAGACGAATGGATGCGACAAGTGAGGTGGCGATGGCGTCGACGGTGCGATGCGGTGCGGATGTCGAGATCAAGAGGTAGCAGTGCGGGTCCATGCGGGAGTGTCCGTCCCTTTTTGGATAAGGGCAGATAGAGGCAAAGGAGGCCATATGGAGGGGGCCAAGGCTCGCCGGAGGCGGGCCGACCCGTCATCAGAAGCGCCGATCGAGCGTAGGAGAGTGGTGCTGCTCGCCCTGGTGGCCAGCGGAGGCATCCGGCACACTGCATCGTGCTGGCCCTTGACGCCGGATCGATTCGGAATTGACCCCGCAGCGTCGTCTGCTTCGACGTCGAGACTGCTTGCTTGCTTGCTTGCTTGCTTGCTTGCCTGCGTCGAGCAGCGTCTCCTATGCCACCGGCGGCGGCGGCGGCGGCGGGAGAACCCTGACTCCTGCGCCCGTATCTGGTGGAGACGGCCGCGCCGACCGCTGAGGCGAAGGCTGTGGCGATGGCCTCGAGGTCGCTGGGCTCAGCGTGCGAAAGGCTCCGAGGATGGGCGAGCCGCTGTGGTCGGTCTCGTCGCTGGGCACCTCGGAGGGCATGCGGGCGTGCGGCACCGGCAGCCGATCCGAAACCACCCTCTGCAGCGGGCTCTTCGACTCGTCGAGGGCGCGTGCGTCGATGCCGCTGCCGGGCGGAGGTCGGCGCGGCTCGCCGCGCGTCGACGGGTCGTCCGAGTTCGAGGAACGGTCGCTGAGCGCCGAGGTGCCTCGCGAGTTGGACGCCAGGCTCGATCCGCCGGGCGATAACGCCCTCCTCGACGCTGGCGAAGGTGAGGCGGCCGGCGGCGGCAGCGCTGGACTCGCTGACCGCGATCCCGGCCCTTGGAGCAGGTACTTGCGCCTCTCGTCCTCGCCCAGCTGCGCCTTGGACGGGCGCCGCGAGTCGTCGCGCGGCTGCTGCTGATGCGGCTGCTGATGTGGTTGCGCTGATGCTGTTGCCGTTCCCCCTGGCGTGTGAAGCGGCTCGTTGTTGTCCGCCCACACCAGACCGCTCGTCAGATCCTCGCCGGCGCCGATGCCGCTCATCTTGCTAAAGGCGAGCGTCCTCTGGTCGGTGGCCATGGCGAAGCCGCCCGTGCCAAAGCCGAGCGGCTGTGGCGGCACAATCTGGATCTGGTCGCGGTTGAGCGGCGAGTGGGGCAGGTACGACTCCCTCCTGCCCATCGACGGCGTGCTGAGCGCCGAGTGCACCGACGCCGACGACGGCTTGGGTAGGCCGCTGGCGTAGGAGCGCTTCAGCGTCATGGTCGACGACGAGCTCGACACGGTCGAATAGCCGCGGCCGTGGGCGTCGTACGGCTCCGGCATTGGGCCTGCGTCGGTCAGGTTGAGGTCGGCCGCCGGCGTCGAGGGCGAGGGCAGCTCGTTTGGCGTCGCTGCGCCGTTGTAGCTGGGCGAGGGGACGGCGATGCTGCTGCCCTTGCTGCCGGTGCCGTTGGCCTGGGCAAAGAACGAGTAGGGCGACGCCTGGGCCATGGGCGTCACCGCCGACTGGCCATAGTAGGCCGTAGGTGGCTCTCGCACCGGCGGCAGCAGCTGGTCCCGATGCCGATGGTTCCACACCTTGCGGTAGATGCGGTATGAGAAGAAGAGGACGGCGAGAGCGCCAAAGATGGCCGCCACGACAATGGCGGCGGTCGCCGGCTGGCCTGCCATCTTTGCACAGCGGGCCGGAGTGCGGGGCAAGGCGGTGTGGGCCTTGGCGATGACCTAGGGGCGTGGCGCCGGGATTTGGCCCTCGCTGAAGAGCGGCCGAAGAGATAGACGATCCGCTCGGAGCCTAGCCTGCGGGGGACGGCCGTCGACCGAGCTTGTTGGTGCCGGCTCGAGAGCCAAATTCCGGCTCAGCTGATTCGTCGATCCTTTTCGAATCCGCCTCTCTGAGAGGTCGCACGCTGTCAGGAAGTGGTGATAACTCAGACCTGGCTACTGCCAGGCTGTGCCTAGGAGTTGGTGTCGCCTCTCTGAATCGATAATGGACGGCCGGTCGGGAAAGTGCAAGTCGGAGCACGATGCTGGAGGCCGGCGGTGACTGCGATGCAACGAGCTCTCGAGCAGATGTGGGCGGATCAGCGACGTCGTTGTCCGGCAAAAGTGCAGGTAGGTCGTCGATGCTCGCAGACCTTGCTGTGCGGCCAATGAAGGGGCACGGGGATCGACGGGATGAGGTGCTGCGAGCGATTTCCGAACGTGATCGCTGGCGGCTAGTCAGCCCGGCGTGCTGGTGGTGGCACGATCGAGGGACGGCAAAGAGGTCCTCGTGAGGGCGAGTGAACGGGCCAGATGCTGGAAGGGCCTGCCAGGATGGAACCTTCGGGAGCGCGCGAGGGTGATGGTCCTAGGAGGCGTCCTCGGACGAGCAGAAAGCAGAAAGCACAGCAGCAATGTCCGTAGGAGGTGATGGATGGTGATGGTGTCGGGAGTAGTGATGATGGCGAGCCGGGTCGTCGTCGATCAGCGGGCAGCGAAGAAGGAGCAAGAGCCGAGTCGCTGGCGCCAGGGGGTCGAGGGGTCGACGAGGAACCACAAGAGACCGGCCAGCAGAAGCCTGCAGCAAGGCGCCGAGGGGTAGACGAGCCTGTCTCGGCGGGTCGGAAGAAGGCGGGCAGGGAGAGGGGCGAGGAGGAGCGAGGAGGAGCGAGGTGGGGAGCGGAAGGAGGGCGGCAAATGGGGGCAGGAGCGAACGATGGAGGGGGCGAGCGAGCGGCGACGGCGAGAGGACCAAGATCGACGCAGGGTGGGCGCAGCCAAGGGTCACTAGCTTCAAGCCAACGCTAGGGTGAGCGGGACGAAGGCCAGCAGGACAGGGTCAAGGCGAGGGCGTACGTTGGCGGCGGGCGGGCGGCGGCGGAGGCGGCGGCGAAAGAAGTGGATCGCTTTGGCGGCGGCGGCGAGGGCCCTAGAGTACCTACCACTCTGACGTCGTGGACTGACCTCGACAAACGACGACGGCGACCAGGGAGGAGCACGCTACGCACGACCGAGGCTAGCTGCGCTGTGCACCATGGCCATCGCGATGGATGCCTGCTGATGTTGGCTGGCAGACCAGCAGGCGGTCGAGCAAGGCCCTGACCCACCCTCGAGCGCACCATGAACACACACGCACACGCAGAAGAGCTAGCCCGTCCTTGGCCGGCAGCGCCGCTCCGATCTAGCGCCAGAGACAAAGCGCAAGCCAGGGTCCTGCCCGTTTGCCTGCCTCTTCCCGAGTGCGGCCTGACGCAGAGCAGGCCATCGTCACGAAACTCGAGGCGGTAGGGCCGGCCCCCCAGACTGAGAAAGCTAAGGTCTCTCGCCTGCCTCGCCATGCCATCTCGCTCTCTCCTCTCCCTCTGACCGTCGCCCCTTCGCCCATCGTCCAAGCAAGGCCACGAAGCGGGAAACCGAGGCAGGGTCGCCAATCGTCTTTGCCCCGGGGGTTTCCATCCCTCCCGCCACGCCGCGATCTGATCTTCGGCGGGTTTTTGTCCACCTTCGTCCACGCTGCCCCGCCCTGGCCCCGCCCCCGGGCCTCCTCTCCCCAGATCGACTGCGGTGCGGTGATCATTCGATGACAATCAATAGCAGCGCATCGGTTGGCTTGGCTCGGTCTGGCCTGGCTTGCTGGCTACAGCAGAGGTGGCGCCAGCGTGGGCAGGCGAGCAAAGGCACAGGACCTCGAGTCGGGAGGCGATTCGTCGAGCGCCTTTCTTCGGGCCGAAAGCCTTGCCTTGGCTTGGCTTGCCCTGCCTGGCCTCGCCTTGCTTGCTCTGCCTCCGCCAGCAGGTTTGCCCTGACGAGCGGGCGGGCAGGCGGCCCAAGGCAGGAGGGTGGTCGACGCACCTTGCTTCCTCTCGACGAATGCGAGACCGTGCAGCAGCTTCGGGAAGCGCGCTGCAAAGGCAGGCGGAAGGGGGCGCACGCCCCATTGGTCGACGAGTTGGGAGGCTCGAGTGGCGACTGGCGAAGGGGGGCGAGCAGGGGAATCCTTCTGCATCCTCGTCGTCGCGACGACCCTGCCTGGATGTATGTACGCTTTTGGCACTCCGTGCCTGCGGGAAACCCATGCGGAGCATCGCCGTCGAGCTTTGCCTGGCCTGGCCTGGTGGTGCCCTCCCTCGCTCGACGTCGACGTGGGTGGCTGCAAACCCCTGCCGGATCTGTCTTGGCACGGCAGACGAGGCGACGCAGGCGGTCGACGGAAGGACGAGCTCGAGACGTACGCAGACGCCAGCGAGCCTCCTTGGGCCGCCGGATGGGTCGAACGGGGCCATGTCATGTTGTGGGCCTGGCCATGGCCAGGCCGCAAGCAGGCACGACGCGCAGCGAGGTGCGAGCAAGCTGTGACCACTTTCTGGCTAAGCTTCCGTCCCGTGGCTTGTCACGGACCATCGACGACGATGCGGACCGGAAGCGGGGGGGAGGGGACGGTAGGGTACGGTAGGGTACGGTGTGCTCGAGGCCATGCCACGCGCCCCCCCGAGATCGTCGCAACTCCGACGTCTATCTGGCCCAATCGCGGGTCAGGCCGGCCGGGTACGTGTGCTGGATGGCTGGCTGGGACGCCGCATCTCGATGGATCGGGTCGATGGGTAGGCGAAGGGCGGGCAGGGCAAGGCAAGGCAGGGCAGGGCAAGGCAAGGCAAGGCAGGGCAAGGCAGGGCAAGGCAGGGCAAGGCAGGGCGAGGCAGGGCAAGGCAGGGCAAGGCAAGGCAAGGCAAGGCAAGGCCGGCCGGCACGTTTTCCGCCGGCCAGCCCGTCTATGTCATCGCCTTGGCCTGGCGCCCCGGCGCCGCAGCCAACCGACACTGCCTGGCCCTGCCCTGGACTGGGCCTGCTGGGTAGAAGTTGGCCGAGCTTAGGGCTCCCTTGAGAAGATCGACGTTCGGTCCTCGGGTTGCAGGCCTCGGCTCCGAGCGAACCCGAACACCTTCCCCCCCCTCCATGGCAAGGCCCGCCGCAGTCATCCCGCCGGTCTGGCACTCGAGCGGATCCCTCCGACCGCAGCCTGCACTTCAAGGCACCTGGATGAGATGAAGTGGAGGCCGGAAACGACGGGGCAAGGCGACGGTGGAAGTCCACGCACGTGCCGGGCTGGGCCGGGTCGGGGGTCGGTCTCGGCGAAGAGTCGGGTTTGAGCAGGAAAAGTGTGAGAAAAACGAGGGCGAAAAGCGACCTCCCACCACATCATCGGGCGAACCACCTCCGCGCGGAGCCTGGCACAGCGGACCGGCGTCGACGAGGGGAGGGTCAAGCAAGCCAAGAGAGAAGTGCACTCATCGCGATCCGCGCTGCAAGAGGACAAGCAGCGAGCAAGGGATCCAGCCACCGAACGGCGGTGCGCGCCATAGACGACCGGAGCGAAAGCGCGCACAGACACATAGAAAGTCACGGACCCATAGACACGGACACGGACACGGACACGGCAGCGCCACGGCGGAAGCTTGCCCTCTGCCAGAGGCGACTAGACCGAAAGGGACAGAACAAGGCTGCAACGGACACGATGGCCTCCTTCCTGCCATCGCGCGACCTATGCCCGCTCAAGCGGCTCGACGTCGGGACGCCCGTTGGTCTGGCACGGGCGCGCGGCGGCGTCGACCAGATCTCAGAGGCTCTCGGTCTGGCGGGGCAGGAGCGCTGGCACGCGCTGCCAAGGCGACTCGACCAGGCCGCCGGTGAAGTGGACGGCAACGACGGCCAAGACAATCAGGACTACGACGAGGACGAGGGCGATGATGAAGCCGATGCCTTTGAGCTGCGCTACGTCCGCAGCTGGCTCACGCGCCTCATCTCGGAGCTTTCGATGGCAGTCGGCGCCGGTAGCGGCGACGAAGACGATGACGACAGCCAGGAAGAGGTAGAGGCGCTGTTCGAACGAGCTTCGGAGCTGCTTTCGGCCTGCGCCGGCAAGATGGCTTCTGGCCCGACGACCAAGACCCACTGCTTTGTCCGCCCCGACCTCGACCTGCGACTGCCGCTCCGGGACGGCACGCTGGTCCACGACTCGCTGGGCACCCACACGTGGGGTGCGGCGCCCATGCTCGTCCATCTGCTACTCCCGCTCGTCCCGGCGCCAGGCCAGGCCATCACGGTGCTCGAGCTCGGCGCCGGCACCGGGCTCGTGGGTCTTGCCCTGGCCCAGTTTCTCCGGAACGCCGATGCCGCGCTGGACCACGTCGTCTGCTCGACCGACTACCATCCGACGGTGATGCAGAACCTGGCGCACAATGCCGGGATCAACGGCTGGGACGGCGGCGGCAAGAGGCGCGACGCCCGCACGCGCTTCGAGGTGCGCACCCTCGACTGGCAGGCGGTCCACGCCGACGAGGTGCGGCACGGGCACGACTGCGACGGCCCCAACGCACACCCCCAGCCTGACGAGGCCTACGTCAGCACGGCGCAGACGGTGTCGTCGCTGCCGCAGATCGAGTCTGAATTGCAGGCCCACTGGGCGCGCAAGCTGGACGACGATGGCCGGGTCGTGCCGCAGAGGTTCGACACCCTGATCGCTGCTGGTGAGTGAGACCGGGTCCAGGCCGCAGATGGGGCACGGGACCCTGCCAAGCTGAGCCTGGTGCTGAGTTCGACGCCCTGCCTCCCTTTGGTCGATCGCTCGAAGACTGCATCTACGACCCCGAACACCCCAAATGGATCCGCTCAGTGGCGCAGCGGTACCTCGAAAGGCGGCCTGCGAGCCCCGGCGCTCCAAGGCCGCTGCTGCACCTGATGCTGCCACTGCGACCCACGCACGCCAGGGAGCTGGCAGCCATCTACGAGGCATTCCCGATGGCGGGGACCAGACCGGGTGGCCTGCACGAGGAGCTGCGGATTGTCGGGCAGGCCGACTACGTCGGGTACGACGACTTTGGCGCACCCAGCCTCGTCTCGTCTGCCAAGGGCCCGCGGCGTCGCTCCGCCAACAAGAGCACGTACCGCTGGATCCAGATTGGCTGGACGGCGACGGCGCCGGCGGAGACCACCAAAGAGGAGATGCAGTAGTAGAGAAGATGGCAACATAGACTCTTAGACTAGCTAGAGCTCCCGCTGCACTCGACGGCCCGGCATGGCATGGTATGGCAGGGGCCGCACCGCCGCTCCCCTCTGCTCCTCGAAGCGGATCCTGGCTGCTTCGTGTTGTCGGCGCGCCTTGACTTCTCACCGGCTGACCGGACAGCGTCGTTCCGGCAGGTCAAGCCGCGGCGAACCAGCGAATGTCGGCGGCGGCGGTAGATGCTGTCGGTGTCACGGGCGTGACCACCTTGCTCGTCTGGAAGAATATCTCCGACGCTCGGCGGGCTTAAGGCGAGGCGAGGCAAGGCGAGGCAAGGTGAGGCAGGGCAGGGCAGGGCAGGGCAGGCAGAGCACGCAAGCGAAGGCGTTACGGTGCGGCGCGGGCGTGCTTCGGAGGCAGCGATCCGACAATCACGGCTGGCGCTGGCGCCGGCGCCGGGACCCGACACGACCTGCCTACGGAAGCTTTCCGCCGCCGCCGCCCAAAGACGCCGGACTTAACCACGCGCGCAGCACGGACCGCCCTCGCTCGATGCCAGGGCTCGCCCACCATGCGCCGCGGCCATGGCGGTATGGCCCTGGCCAGGCCATGCTCCTGGACGCTGCGGCCCTCCACCACGGCCGTAAGCTCGGGGCCATTGATGGAGAGAGAGAGTGCGATGATATAAGGCTCGCTCGCCGCCGTCTTCCCTCCATCACCACACCCGACCCTTCACCGACCTCGACCTCGACCTCGACCTCGACGCCCCTCGTCAAGCTCTCCCTTGCGCCTCAACCGTACCGCACCCGCACCCGCACCGCACCGCACCTCGCAACCAGCTCGCAGCCATGTCGCAGTCCCACGACCTCTTGCTCTACACGGCCAAGGTTTGCCCCTATGCCCACCGCACCGAGCTCGCCCTGGAGGAGTCGGGCGCAAAGTACGACACTTTCCAAGTCGACCTGGCCAACAAGCCCGAGTGGTGAGTGTGCGCGCCCCCGTCGCCGGGCGGCGGCGGCAGCAGCAGCGGCGGTAGCAGGGCACCTGAACGGTGCCGCTCTCGCCTCTCCCTTCTTCCTGGCTCGTCAGGTACGCCGAGAAAGTCAACAAGGCCTCCAAGGGTGAGCACGGCAGGCAATGCAGTCGGCCCTCGTCGCGCTGTTGGTCCATGGCTGGCTGCTGACAAGCCGCCACGCATTGATCTCCGCCCCTCGGCCGCGTCGCCGCTGCCCGCAGTGCCCACGCTCGTCGTCGACGACAAGAAGCCCGACCAGTTCAACCTGCCCGAGAGCATGGTCATTGTCGAGTTTGTCTCGGACCTCTTTGACCCCGTCTCGACCGGCAACACGATCCACTCCAAGGAGTGAGTGCCTTGCTCTTGCCCACCTCTCGACCGACCTTTCGACCGGCTCCTGCCCGTCGCCCACCTCTGCGCATCCGCTGACGCCTTTCCGCGACTGTGTGAACCGCCCCGTCGCCTGCCTGGCAGCCCCAAGGTCCGTGCCGACTCGCGCTACATTGTCGAGCGATTCGCCCAACTCGTCGTGGGCTCCTACATGAGCGCCGCGCTCAAGCAGGACGTCGTGGCGTTCAACGAGCTGGTCCAGGGCCTCAGGACGTTCAACGAGCTCATCCTCGAGCGCTCCAGCCAGGGCCCCTTCATCAAGGGCGACAAGTTCACCTTTGCCGACATCGGCATTGCCCCCATGTGAGTCCCACTACCGAATCGTCGCTGCGGCAGACCTCTCCCGGCTCCCCGAGGCACGTCCAGCTGACTCTGGCTTCTTGACCTTGACCCCCGCACCAGCTTCGGCCGCATCCTGACCGTTTCCAAGACCAACCTGTTCCCCTCGAGCGCCGACGCCGCGCCGATCCACGAGCTGCTTGAGAAGGACGCCAGCCTCGCCCGCGTCAAGACGTGGTGGGAGGCCGTCAGCGCCCGCCCCAGCTGGCAGAAGACGTACGACGAGAAGCTCATCGTCGACATGTTTACCAAGAGGATCCAGGGCGCCCAGCAGCAGGCCAAGTGAGCGAGCGGGCTTGCGTGTGAGAGGCCACATGGCAGGCGGCGGCAGAAGGGGAAGCGACGGCGACGAGCATCTCATGTACTCGAGAGCAGGTCCAGAAGCCGGCGGGCATGGCCTCGCTGTGGGCCGGAGCGAGCAGCAGCTAGTAATCACCATCATCGAGGGCCCACTGCGGCAAGCGCAGCATCACAAATCACTCACCGCATCGTCCGTTCGCTGGCCTGCCAGATTCATGCTGCGTTGACGGCAGATCATCTGATCGCCCAAAGCCTATTCTTAGCCTTTAAGACTCCTTCAGGTGGGGCGGGGAGCGAGCCAGCAAGCTAAGCATGACCACGGTATCCCGATCGACGTGCTGCATGCGCGCGAAGCCCGACGCCCCTGCCCCCTGCCCCCTGCCCCTCTCTTTCCCCACTTTGCTTGCCGAAGTCGGTAGAGGAGCTTCTAGGCTGCCTTGGCTGCCTGCATCCTAGCCTGCTTCTCCATGTGCCGTCACGATGACCATGACGGCAGCCTCGAGCTCGAGGCAGTAGTCGTATGAACACGCCAAATGGTAGAAAGCCGCGTCCTGCCTTGCCAGCCTGGCCTGCCAGTTGCCGGCGGCGAGGCCGCAGGGGCCGCAACGCTGCGCCGGCTCGACACTCAGGCTTCTACCCCTGCCTACGGCCTGCGCGGCAGATGTCGCTCCCCGTTGCCATGACCCGCCGAGGACAGGTACCGCCCCGCCCCGACCAGCCCCACCGAGCTGCCTGCAGTTGTGCATTGTAGACCGGGCCCGAGACGCAGCGCAGCGCAGCGTTGCCAGGTCGGCTCCTCATCACGGTGCCCCGACCGCTGCTGACGGGCCCCTGAGTGCAAGAGCGCCCCACTCTTCTTCGTGCGGCGGGCACTGTAACTAGGCAAAGGATGATGTGGGAAGGCAAAGGCGTCGTCGATGGCAGGCGGAAAGGCATACGTATATCAACGCCAGCCCGTCCCGTCCTTGTCGCCCGCCGGCTCCATCATCCCCGCATCTCTCACCCTCGTTCCACCCTTTGCCTCGTCCGTCGAAGCCCCTCTCTTCAGCCTCGACCACCGCGCCCAAGATGGCCAAGCTCTCGCCGCTCCTTTTCGCATTCGCGCTGCTCTGCAGCCTCTCCTCGCTGCTCGTCGCGGGCCAGGTCGAGAACGACGACCCGCGCGGCAAGGTGCTGTTCGTCAGCGAGCCGTCGTGCGACTCGTGGCGGTGCCAGGTCAAGTGGCGGCAGGGCACCAAGCACCGGGTCAACTGGTTCAACCCGCCCCGGGGCAAGGTTTCGATCAAGCTGGTGCCGCAGGAGGGTACGACGGGGCTCAAGGAGTACACGCTCACCCCCAGCGTGTCGGGCAAGCACCACGGCGACAAGTGCGACCGCGGCGAGCAGAAGGACGTGCCGTGCGGCATGTTCTCCTGGACCGTTCCCCTCGACACTGTGCCGGGTCAGTACATGATTGAAGTCGCCTCGCTCAAGCACCCGGACCTCGTCGGATACACCGACACCGTCGTCATCACCAAGGCCAGGAAGAACAAGAGCAGGCGCTCCCAGGGCGCCGTCGGCCAGAGGCTGCACGAGAGGCGCAGCGAGGACCCCTGGGACGCCGCCGACAACCAGCCGCCCATCGATGGTGAATAGACGTCGTACTCGATACTGTACAGGGCAGGCACCATCGACCGCCGCACGCCCGTTTGCCTCGAGACGGGCGCATACGGCCCTCGAGTGCCTTCTGCGATCCGAGCAGCCTACATCGCGGCCTCGCCGCTCGTCCCCGCTCAGCTTCGTCTTCTACCGCTCCGCCGTGTCCCCTTCCGAGCTCGCCGCTTCTGAAATGAACAGTGTCACCGTCCCTCGTCGTCGATACCCGCACCGTCCTGAAGCGCGCGCTGCCAGTACGTAGTGGCGTCGAGCGATGGCTGTGGTGCTTCCCTGCTGACCTGACCCGAGCGCTACCTAGCACGGGAAAGCCCCAGCGAGGGACCTTTGGAGTCAGGTCGTGTCTGACGCGGCTCGCTTTCGAGCCCACGGCGGTTGGCTCAACAGGACTGCGGCTCGGCGCGTCGAAGACGAGATGGCATTGTACTGCTACGAGACCGTCCAGCCGCCACCGACGCCTTCGCCGGTCCGTCGGAAGCTCCACTCTCTGGGCGTGCGAGGAGCCGCTGTCGGGCAACGAGCGCGGCAAGGGGGCAAACGAGGAAGATCTCGTCCGACGTACGCTGCTCGACGGCCGCGGCTGGCGAGGGCGCAGGGCAGCCTCGCCGCCAGCCTGCGAGCAGAGCGCCTCTATCGAAGAGCCGATGGGTTGCCGTCGACGTTGCGATCTCGATAGCAAACGCTCGCGACCCTGCTGGTCAAAGGCTGGAGGATGGTGCTGCTACGGTGCCCGGCATGGAAAGCGCTCGAGGCCGCTCCGCCACACCCGCACGGCATCCTGGAACGGCGCCTCGGATCCGCAGCTAGTTCCTCTTCGGCTTCTCGACCCGACCCGACCTGGCGGTGGCCAGAGGCCTGGCGTGGTGTGGTGCGGCAGGCCAGGTTAGGCCCAACGAGCTCAGGCGCCGCCGGTCGCCAGCTGAGGGCCTCGGGGGCTCCCCTGCAATCTGGATGGAGCCACAGCGGCGGCCCAAGCCACGGACACAAAGCAGCAGCGGCAGCAGGCACAACATACCAGGCGCAGTCCAGGTCCAGAAAGAGAGAGAGAGAGGCTAGGATGGGGCCGGCACGTTGCAACCCACCTGCCCGGCAGGCCTTTGCCCCTGGTCCCATTGTGCGGTCGATCCGAGAGCACCGAGAGCACCGTACCACACCAGCCTTCGGGCGGGGCCTAGTGTTACGGCCCCTTGATCGTCGCGAAGGCCACCGGCCGCGCTGCTGCTCCGCCTGGCCTCGTCCATCCCGCCGCCCGAGGGCTTGCCTTGCCTGCCTGGCCGCCTGGCCGCCTGGCCGCCTGGCCGCCTGGCCGCCTGCCTGCTTGTCAACAGGCAGGCTGTAACCTAGGGCAGCTTGGGCAGGATCCAGGCCCTCCTGCATCCCCGGGACAACGCCCGCACCGGCTCGGAACCCCTCGATGCCTCGATGCCTCGATGCCTCGACGCCGTCGTCGCCGTCGTCGGCCGCGCGGCCCTGCCCGGCCTCCTGGTCGTCTGCGCTGTCGACGGCCTGTTGATCTGCCTGCTGGCTCGCCATCTGCCTGCCTACGTGGTGCCAGCATCTGCCCTGACCCTCGTGTGACGCTCCTCCGCAGCTGTCAAGCAGGGCAAGCGTGGTCCGGTGTTGGCACGTCTCCGCCGTCCTGGTACGGTGTCGTCGCCTCTGCCTGCTCTGGGAACCCGCAGAGAGGTGGCCGCTGGGCCGCCAGCCCAGCCGTCGTCGAGGCCGCTCGCCAGGCCTAGACGTGGTGACCGCGCCGCCTCGTCCCCATCTCTCTATCGTCTCGAGCTGCCTTTCCCTTCTGTCTCTTCGGCCTTCGTTGCGACAGCGTCGAGCCGGCCAGCCAGCCGCCTCCCAGCAGGCCGGACCTAGGTGCGATGGCAGGCCTGCC